AGAAAACATGGAATAATTGAATAATGACAGGCTGCAACTTAATATAAATATGTATTACAATTAGAAGTATATAGGCTGGTTAAAGTAATAACCATGACTATCAACTATGATTAAAACTAATAACTATTAGTTTTTATAAAAGTAATTTTTATTTAATGCTTTAATCTTTAAAAACAGAAAGAAAAACACCACAAGAAAAAAAAACAAAATACAAAACATACGTAACAATATAAAGTGATTTTACAGCCTTCTATATCTGCTTTCCTGTTTAGCTTTCGTAATTCTCCATTCTGCATTGCCTTCCTATTGCTCTTACCTTGTCCTATAATATAACAACAGCAGTGCTAACACTTATAATAATATTGATTATTTATATCTATTAATAAATATCCGTTTTATTTGTATTAGAATGTAGGACGCCCAGGGGCCACACAGTTCACCCACTGATAAGCTTGTGAAAAAAAATAAAAATAAATAAATGCACAAGTTGTAAGTCACCCAACTTTGAATTGAGATATTTCTGTGCACAGTACTAGCAATAAAGTTTTACGAGCCGCCTTCAAAGTGTGGCATAAAAGCCCAGTAATTAAAATATCCTGCTAATTGCTGTTGGGTGATGCTGCTTGATCGCAGTTAGCCCCCCAGAGATAGGGATGGGGCTTTTCCCAGGTCTGTTGAGCTAGAGATGTGGATTTTCCCATGCAATGTTCAACAGCTCTGGTCTTCAGAAACAATGGAAAGGAGAAAGAGGTAGAAAATAGAATGGTATTAATACCCAAATATATATTTAAAAGATCTTATATGTGGAATCACTCTAATGTAAAGGAAGAAGAGGAAACTTAAGTGGTATGTTTGTTCAAACACCATCATGAAAGTACATCAGAGTAAAGAAAATATGAAAACAGAAGAATGGAAGGAGGGAAGGGAGAGAGGAGGAGAGGAGGAAAGGAGAGAGAAAGAAGAAAGGGTAAAAGAGAGGAAGGGAGGAGGGGTAGTAAGGAGAGAGGGCAGGAGGGCGAGGAAGAGAGGAGTAGGGAAGCAGAAGAAGAAAAAAGAAAGGAGAGGAGGAAGGAAGAAGGGAGAGAAGAAGGGAGAGTAGGAGAAAGAAAGAAAGCTTGAATATAGTATTATATCTTTAGGGAAAGAATGGAAGCATAAATGTTAAAGGCTAATGATATTTATGAGAAATGTATATTTGTGAATGTATGAGAAACAAAAAAAAAATTTTTTTAACTTTTCTTTAAAAAATATTGGAAAGGAATGAAAGGATGTGTCATGCATGTTACTGCATGACAGTCATGCAGTAACACGCTGGATTGCAATGAAGGGAAAGAGACAGACATATATGTGCTTCAACGTATGAGGCCTCTGTCATGTGAGGTGCCACATAAATTCTCACAGGGCCTCTGCTTTCTCGTGACCCTATTGTACGAGCCATGGTGGCGCGGTAGTTAGAATGGAGTATTGCAGGCTGACTCTGCCCACTGCCAGCTGTTCGATCCTGACCGGCTCATGGTTGACTCTTCCTTCATTCTGAGGTCTGTAAAATGAGGACCCAGATTGTTGGGGGCAAGAGGGTGACTGTGTAAACCGCTTAGAGAGGGCGAGAAAGCACTGTGAAGCGAGATATAAGTCTAAGTGCTATTCCTTCCTCCCTCCTTCCCTCCTAAAGGTTGACTCAGCCTTCCATCCTTCCGAGGTGGGTAAAATGAGGACCCAGATTGTTGGGGGCAAGAGGCTGACTTAGAGAGGGCTGTAAAGGCTTTGTGAAGTGGCATATAAGACTACTGCTATTGTCCTTCCTTCCTTCCTTCCTTCCTTCCTTCCTTCCTTCCTTCCTTCCTTCTTCTTAAAGGTTGACTCAGCCTTCCGTCCTTCCGANGATAGATAGATAGATAGATAGATAGATAGATAGATAGATAGATAGATAGATAGATAGATAGATAGATAGATGATATAGATATCTTAATTCTGTAAGGCCCAACCCTTGGTCTGTAAAGAGTTCAGAGAATCAAAATTGGTATCAGAGCTGGAAGGGACCTTGGAGGTCTTCTAGTCCAGCCCCCTGCTGGAGCAGGAGACGCAAACCATTTCAGACAAGTGGCTGTCCAGTCTTTTCTTAAAAACTTCCAGTGATGGAGTACCCACAACTTCTAGTGGCAAGCAGTTCCACTGGTTCATTGTCCTCACTGTCAGAAAGTTTCTCCTCAATTCCAGGTTGCTTCTCTCCTTGATTAGAATAGAATAGAATAGAATAGAGTAGAATAGAATAGAGTAGAATAGAATAGTAGAGTTGGAAGGGACCTTGGAGGTCTTCTAGTCCAATCCCCTGCTTAGGCAGGAAACCCTACACCACTTCAGACAAATTGATATCCAGCATCTTCTTAAAAAGGTCCATTGTTGGGGCATTCACAACTTCTGGAGGCAAGTTGTTTCACTGATTAATTGTCCTCACTGTCAGGAAATTTCTCCTAAGTTTGCTTCTCTCCTTGATTTCCACCCATTGCTTCTTGTTCTGCCCTCAGGTGCTTTGGAGAATAGCTTGACTCCCTCTTCTTTGGGGCAGCCCCTCAAATACTGGAATGCTGCTATCATGCCTTCCCTTGGTCCTTCTTTTCTCTAAACTAGCCATATCCAAATCCTGCAATCGTTCTTCATATGTTTTAGTCTCCAGGCCTTCAATCATCTTAGTGGCTCTTCTCTGCACATTTTCCCGAATTTTTGACCTCTTATTTGTAACGTGGGGACCAAAACTGGTTGCAGGAGTCCAGGTGTGGCCTTACTAAGGCTTCATCAAGCGGTACTAACACTTCACGTGATTTTGATTCTATGCCTCTGTTTAATCCAACCAAGGATTGTATTAGCTTTTTTAGCTGCCTCCGCACACAGCTAGCTTATGTTTTAAGATCCAGAACCAAACTCCAACCGCATATACATGGGATGTGCATAAAACTACATATTTCCCCTGCTCCGTGGAACTGGTCCCCGTGCCCAAAAGATTGGGGCAAGATTTTTTTTATTAAAAAAACCATGAGCGAGTGTGGTGGCCGTAGACATTTTCCTGAATAAATCAACGAGAACAAACTGTTTTTAGAGAATCAGGCTGAAAAATCGAAGGGAATTTAGGAGATGCTAATGCCAAATTAGCTTCACTTAGCCAACTGAAGCCAACAAGATGCTGTTGAAAAGGACATTTATCCTTTTGCCCGGTAATAAATTGATTTGGGGGTGGGGTGGGGGAGAGAGAAGCTGCTTTTGGTCACAAGCCAGTGTGAATCAGCAGTGTGAGTGATGACTGTTTTAAAAAGAAAGAAAGAGAGAGAGAGAAAGAGAGAGAGAGAGAGAAAGAAAGAAAAAGGAAGGAAGGAAGTTTGCGCCTCGTTTGAAAGCCGAGCGCTTTAACCAGGAGTCGTGCCAATGTGGAGTCATGAAAAATGGAAAAGGCTTGGAAAACGGGATAGTGTGGGAGCTGGGAGGAGAGGCATGGAGGCTGCCGGAAAATTGTTTAGCGCTGAGAAGCAGTGTGGGTCGTTTTCAGGAGGACACGCCTGCGCTCCCACAGTTCTTACTTGTTGGCTGCGTGGGCCTGAGCATGCACGCCTGCCCACCACTCACACGAGATGAGCCATGTGTGCACACCGGTCCAGCACTTGCGTGGCTCGGTTCCCCTCTCCCACCCACCCACCCCGCCACCCCACAGCCAGGCCAGCAAGTGGGGGATCGCTGAAGTAGGTCAGTGTTTCTCAAGCTTGAGAACTTTTAAGATGTGTGGACTTCAACTCCCAGGATTCCTGGCTGGGGCATGCTGGCTGTGGAATTCTGGGAGTTTTAAGGCCATCCATCTTAAAGCTTGCTGCTTGGGGGATTCTGGGAGTTTTAAGGCCACTCCTCTTAAAGCTTGCTGGCTGTGGAATTCTGGGAGTTGAAGTCCATTCCTCTTAAAGCATTCTGTCTGGGGGATTCTGGAGGTTGTAGTCCATCCCTCTTAAAGCATACTGGCTGGGGATTCTGGGAGTTTTAAGGCCACCCCTCTTAAAGCTTGCTGGTTGGGGGATTCTGGGAGTTGAAGTCCATTCCTCTTAAAGCTTGCTGGCTGGGGAATTCTGGGGGTTGTGGTCCATCCCTCTTAAACAGGCTGGCTGGGGAACTCCGGGAGTTGTAGTCCACCCAATTTAAAGTTGACCTGATTTCAAACCACTGATATAAACTGATGGTTGAGACAAACTTTGTGATCCGTTTGTGTGAATCCACCGGAATTACACTGGAAATTAGATTAGTTAATATTCTTTTTAAAAAATACTAAAAATATTTCTTTTTCACAAAAACTGTGTAGTTGGTTTCTTTTTAAAAAAATCTGGGAATTAGACTACTTTATCTTCTTTTTAAAATTTTTTTATTTATTTATTGGAATTTGTCAAAACAAAAACGAGAACAAGAATAAAAATACAGTGACAGGGACAATAGGCACGTTAGTGCACTTACGCATGCCCCCTCCACTCACCACTTAAGTATGAAGTAAGGTCCACAGGAGTATATTAAAATACTTCTTTTTTCACAGGACATTGTGTAATAATTTTTTTTTTTAAATAATGATCTGCTAATTTGAACGTAGAGGTATGCATGGCATGTCCAGACTTAGGCTAGCTGAGGAATTCTGGGTNATGGGTAGGTAGGTGGGTAGATGATTGGATGGATGGATGGATAGAAAGAAAGAAAAAAGAAAGAAAAAAAGAATAGAATAAATATATAGACTAGACTAGAACAGAATAGAAGAATATATAGAGTCGAGTGGAATGGAATAACATAACATAGCAGAGCAGAGCAATAGCAATAAAATAGAGAATGGAATGGAATTGAATGGAATAGCAATAGAGAATAAAATAGAATAGAACAATTCTAGCCTTGCCCATTAGGATGCCTTTAATAACTTGAGGTCATGAGGCCAGAAACCTTTTCCGAATCCTTGGCAAGGCTCTTTCTTCTCTTTTGCCCTCCTCTAGCTGCTAGAATTGTTCGACAGCGAAGACCCCAGGGAACGTGAATACCTCAAGACCATCCTCCACCGGGTTTATGGAAAATTCCTGGGCCTTCGGGCGTATATTCGCAAGCAATGCAATAACATATTTTTGAGGTGAGGGGCTGCTTCGCCTTCGGTTTGCCTGCGTTTTTATCCCACGCCATCAAGGAGTGTCGTGTCGTGCACAACTTTTTCTAATTTCTAATCTTGCCCAAAATTTTCTGATTAATTCCAAGCATAACCTTATCAATTGAACCTGTAGAGCAGTTTTCAGTCTTGGCCACTTTAAGAGGGGTGGACTTTCACTCCCAGAATCCCCTAGCCAGGAGGCTTTAAGAGGGGTGGACTTCTACTCCCAGAATCCCCTAGCCAGCATGCTTTAAGATGGCAGGACTTCCACTCCCAGAATCCCCCAGCCAGGAGGCTTTAAGATGGCAGGACTTTCACTCCCAGAATCCCCTAGCCAGGAGGCTTTAAGAGGGGTGGACTTCCACTCCCAGAATCCCCTAGCCAGCATGCTTTAAGGTGGCAGGACTTCCACTCCCAGAATCCCCCAGCCAGGAGGCTTTAAGAGGGTGGACCTCCACTCCCAGAATCCCCCAGCCAGCATGCTTTAAGATGGGCGGACTTCCACTCCCAGAATCCCTCAGCCAGGAGGCTTTAAGGGGGGTGGACTTCAGCTCCCAGAATCCCCCAGCCAGCATGCTTTAAGATGGGCGGACTTCCACTCCCAGAATCCCTCAGCCAGGAGGCTTTAAGGGGGGTGGACTTCAGCTCCCAGAATCCCCCAGCCAGCATGCTTTAAGATGGGCGGACTTCCACTCCCAGAATCCCTCAGCCAGGAGGCTTTAAAATGGGAGGACTTCCACTCCAAGAATCCCCCAGCCAGGAGGCTTTAAGAAGGATGGACTTCAGCTCCCAGAATCCCCCAGCCAGCACTGGCTCCTGGTGTTTTTTAACAAGCGGTTCTCTGCCCTAATGACGGCTGGGTAGGCGTGGCTGGGGGAGGGGTCATGTGACTGGGTAGGAGTGATGTTAAGTTGGCCACGCCCAACTAGGTTTTGTGGCTCCCGGTGTTTTTTTTCCTGGTGGGAAACGGATCCAAATGGCTCTGAGTGATGAACCTTTGAGTGTCCTATTCTTTATTAAATTGTTATCATGGCACAGGCGGTTCCCTGACCTACGACCACAAACAACCCCCAAATTATCCTTGGCTAAGCCAGACACTTTCTCAGTGCGTCGTGCCCCATTTTACAACCTTTCTTACCATGGCGGTTAGATGCACCCCGCAGTTGTTCAATTAGCGACACGATTGTTAAGCGAGTCTGGCTCTACCCCGTCGACTTTGCAGGCTAGAAGGTCGCAAAAGGGGAATCGCATGACCCCCGGGGGCACTGCAACCGTCATAAGTACGAATCAGGTCCGAACTTGGATCACATGACCACAGGGGTGCCACAATGGTTGTTAAGTGCGAAAAATGGTCACAAGTGGCTTTTTTTCAACCCCGTCGTACCTTCAAGCGTTTTGCTGTGTATATAGGAGCTCCCTGTTGTGTTTCAGGAAGGTGAAGATGATGGGGAAAGGGGGCCAAGGGGAGAGGGAGGGTTGCTTGCCATCCTCAGTCTTTGGAGAAGACGACGAGGAGAATAAAACTTTTCCTGTTTCTGCTTTTCTTTCCCCCCTGGCAGGTTTATCTACGAGATGGAACATTTCAACGGAGTGGCTGAATTATTAGAAATCCTTGGGAGGTAAATGTTTCAGGGCTTGGGGGGGAAAACAATGTTTTTGAAGAGCATGTAAGGGTGGCCTTTCCCCGTTCTTCAAAGGGACGGAAGGGAGCCCTGAGGTCATCAAGTCCAACCCCCTGCTTTAGGGCAAGATCCAGGACAGCATCTCTGAAGGAGGACCCTCCGGGGAGGGAAGGGAGGAAGGCGAGATAGAAATGAAAGAAGGAAGGAAGGAAGGGGATGGGAAGAAAGAAAAAGGGAAGGAAAGAATGAAAGGAAAAAGAAAAAGGAAGGAAGGAAAGGAGGGGATAGAATGGGAAGAAAAAGGGAAGGAAGGACAGAGAAAAGAAAGAAAGAGGAAAGAAAAGAAAGAGGAAAAAGAAAGGAAAGAATGAAAGAAAAAAAGGAAGTTAGGATGGGAAGAAAAAAGGGAAGAAAGGAAGGACAGAAATGAAAGGAAGAAAAAGGAAAAAGAAAGAAAGAAGAGGATGGGAAGGGAAGAAAAGCAAAAAAGGGAAGGAAGGAAAGAATTTAAAAAATGAAAAAAGAGAAGAAAGGAAAGAGAAAGGAAAGGAGGGGATAGGATGGAAAGGAAGGAAAGAAAGAAAGAAGAAAAATGGTTAAACTGGAGATTATTCTTAAATTCATCTAGCTCAGTGTTTCTCAACCTCTGGGAAATTCTAGCCAGGGAATTCTGGGAGTTGAAATCCAATCATCCAAGCCGCTTAGTTGGGAAGCCCCAATTTAGCTCCCCTGACACCGATACGAGAAACTGGCTGCTGCAACAACGACCCTGCAGGGGACGACCCTCTCCCCCTCCCGTAACACACCCTCCGGCTTCTCTTTCAGCATCATCAACGGCTTCGCGCTGCCCTTGAAGGCGGAACACAAGCAGTTCCTGGTACGGGTACTCATCCCACTTCACTCCGTCAAATCGCTCTCCATTTTCCACGCCCAGGTGAGCATCCCCGGGGGAGGATGGGTGCCGGAGACGAGCCCTCGGAGCGCTCCGGGGCTTCCGAGAGGCTCCTTGGCTCCTCACCCAGATTCCTCTCTTGCAGCTGGCCTACTGCGTGGTCCAGTTCTTGGAGAAAGACGCCACGCTGACCGAACACGTAAGTCTGACTTTCGCACAGGGGCGGGAGGGTAAGCCGCAGGGTAGGGGGCACGGCTGCAGTGGGGGGGGGAGGGCTGGGTGAGATTTGGCATCCCTGCGTGCGAGAGGCTCCTTCGATCAAGAGCCGGAGTTTTCTTTTCATTTACTCTTTGAATTTTTAGAACTGTCCAACCCCACCAAGCGGTAGTGAAATTCATTTTTTTTTACTACTGGTTCTGTGGGTGTGGCTTATTGGGCATGGCAGGGGAAGGATACTGCAAAATCTCCATCCCCACCCTACTCTGGGGCCAGCCGGAGGTGGCATTTGGTAGTTCTCTGAACTACTCAAAATTTCCCCTACCGGTTCTCCCAACAACTCAAAATTTCCTCTACCGGTTCTCCCAACGACTCAAAATTTCCCCTACCGGTTCTCCCAACGACTCAAAATTTCCTCTACCGGTTCTCCCAACAACTCAAAATTTCCCCTAACGGTTGTTCCAACGACTCAAAATTTCCCTACCGGTTCTCCCAAAAACTCAAAATTTCCTCTACCGGTTCTCCCAACGACTCAAAAATTCCCCTATCGGTTCTCCCAACAACTCAAAATTTCCTCTACCGGTTCTCCCAANGATCCTGGAGCCCAGGAAAATATAATCTGTCCCTACCTAAATGGCTAGTCTTATATTAATATGTAAAAGCAAAAAGTGGAGGCTGCAGTGGGTTTTTCTTTTACTGTGTTAGGAAGAGTCGGAAGCCAATGGAAGCTCTTTTCTTTTTCTCTTTCCCCCTTGTATTCCACCCCCCCCCCCTTTTCCCATTCCCTTAACTTCCCTTAATTTCCTATTTATTTATTTTTTGTATTTTGTACAATAAAAAATGGGGACGGGGGGGTGGGGAGAAGATGGTAAAAGGCTGGCCAAAAAACACAGGGGGTAGGAAGTTGAACTCGTACTACAGGTTGTAGTGACTTGACTTATGACTGCTGTAGTGGCCCAACTTTCTGTTGCTAAGCGAGACAGTTGGTAACTAACTTTTGCTCCATTTTATGAGCTTTCTTGCCGCCGTTGTTAAGGAAATCAGCGCAGTTGTTACATGAGCAATGCGGTCGTTAAGTGAGTCTGGCTTCCCCACTGACTTGGGCAGTCAGAAGGTCACAAAAGGGGATCATATAACACTCCCGGGGCACTGCGACTGTCGTAAGTACCTATCAGTTGGCAAGCATCCGAATTTTGATCGTACGACCGCAGGGATGCTGCAAACGGTCGTAAGTGTGAAAAACAGCCCGAAGTCACTTTTGCCACCGCCGTTGTAGCTTTGGTGACTAAATCAATGGTTGCGGTTTGAGGCAATTAACTAGCCTTCGTGAGAGTTATATATTGATCCGTTGCTTCTGAAAGGAAACAGGAAGAAACCACCATAAAGAGAAAAGGGGGAAAAGAGAATTACTTATCCAAAGCATTACTCATCGTTAGACTTATCCAATGGAAGGGGAGGCTGAACTGAAGATGACTCAGATGCTGTCATAAGGAAGAAAAGATCGGATACCCTTTATATTGTGTTTTCGGGGAATCTGAGAAATCGCTCCAGCACTGCACTTAAATCATTTGGAGAACTAAGCTGCCAGTCTTCCAGTAGTTTAAAAACAGGAGTTTAAAATTCTAATGTGTGGGCTGCATTACATAAAATGTGTTACCGTATTTTTCAGAGTATAAGACACACTTCCCCCCCCCCTAAGAGAGTGAAAATTTGGGTGCATCTTATATACCGAATGTAGCCCCACCCAGCTGCCAGCCCCCACCCTTTGGCCCCTGCCTCCCAACAATTTGCCTCCTTGCAGCAAACAGCAAACACCCTGTTTCAGTTTCAATGTTAGCACAAGGGGGGGAAAAATCTGCCTCCCAGCAATTTGCCTCCTTGCAGCAAACAGCCTGTTTCAGTTTTAGCACAGCCTGAATAGCGTAAGGGGGAAAAAGTCTGCCTCTCAGCAATTTGCCTCCTTGCAGCAAACAGAAAACAGCCTGTTTCAGTTTCAATTTTAGCACAAGGGGACAAAAATCTGCCTCCCAGTAATTTGCCTCCTTGCAGCAAACAGCCTGTTTCAGTTTCAATTTTAGCACAAGGGGTGGGGGGGGAATCTGCCTCCCAGCAATTTGCCTCCTTGCAGCAAACAGAAAACAGCCTGTTTCAGTTTCAGCTTTGCACAGCCTGATTCGCACAAGCAGCTGATTGTCGGTTGGATTGGCCTCCCGACCATCAGCTGTTTTAGGCTGCAGGGATTGCCATTGCCTATTGCAGCCTCCGCTTGCCCCATTTTCTGCCTTCATGTTTCATTTTTGGGTTCTGTGTGCCCCGTTTTCGGCCTCTGCACGCTCCATTTTCTACCTATTCCGATCCCTGCTTCTGTTTGCTGCAAGGAGGCAAATTGCTGGGAGGCAGATTTGTTCCCCCTTGTGCTAATCAGGCTGTGCTAAAATTGAAACTGAAACTAAAATGGGTTGTTTGCTGCAAGAAGGCAAATTGCTGGGAGGGGAGGCAAGCAGATTTCCCCCCCTGCTTTCCTCCCTAAAAGTTAGGTGTGTCTTATACTTCGAAGTGTCTTATACTCTGAAAAATATGGTAATTAGTGGGCCGCATTCATAAACATGCAAATATGTAAGAAACAGTCAGTGTTTGTTCATTATTCATTGTTTAAATTAGTAAAACAAACACATGTATATAACACATGCTTTATAAGTAATACTGGCTTAATCATTTTTAAAATTAAAGTAAAATGGCACTTATGGATGGCTAAGGGAGCCAGCCTGGGCTTGTAGTTTAGGCACCAGGCTAGAAAACCAGGCATTAGTGAGTTCTAGTTCCGCCTTAGGCACGAAGCCAGCCGACTGACCGTGGGCCTGTCACTCTCCCTCAGCCCTAGGAAGGAGGCAACGTCAATCCACTTGGGAAAATCCTTCCTAAAAAAATCTGCCAGGCAGTTGCTAGGAGTTTATACTGACCTTAAGACACCTCCCGCCCAAAATATAATGTATATTAAAAGAAAAAAAACAGAATAACAGGTTTGGGAGGGAGCTTGGAGGTCTTCTAGTCCAACTCCCTGCTCGAGCATGAGACCCTACGCCAGCGATGGTGAACCTTTTTTGGCTCACGTGGCATAAGTGGGGGGAGCGCAGGGGGGGGTCCTGTGCGGGCGTGCCACACCCATAATGCAATGCCCTAACACACACACCCAGTGCGCATGCACGCACTACAGGTGCTCCCGCCTCCATTTTTTACATCATTTTTTCACCCTCCCCAGAGGCTCCAGAGGCTTTATAGGAGCCTGGGGAGGACGGAAACAGCCCTCCAGGGGCTTCAGGGACCTTCAGGAGGCTTCCCTGAAGCCTTCGGAGCAGTCAAAACGACCCTCCGAGCAAACAGGAAGTCTGTTCCCCAACTTCCGGTTTGCCCGGGGGCCGGATGTTTGCACTCCGGAAGCTTCAGGGAAGCTCATGAAGCCTCCGGAGGTCCTCCAGGGGGATGGGGGAGGCTCTTTTCACCTTCCCCAGGCTCCTATAAAGCTGCCCAGCTGACAGGGCAGCGCTTCGTGTGTCCTGATAAATGACTCCGCGTGCCACCTGTGGCACGCATGCCATAGGTTCACCATCACTGCCTTACGCCATTTCAATCAGAGTAGAGCTGGAAGGGACCTTGGAGGTCTTCTAGTCCAACCCCCTGCTCAAGCAGGAGACCTTAGATCATTTCAATCAGAATAGAGCTGGAAGGGACCTTGGAGGTCTTCTAGTCCAACCCCCTGCTCAAGCATGAGACTTTACACCATTTTAAACAGGTGACTGTCCAGTCTCTTCTTGAAAGCTTCCAGTGATGGAGAGCCCACAACGTCTAGTGGCAAACTGTTCCACTGGTTAATTGTTGTCACTGTAGGGAAATTTCCCCTTAGTTCTAGGTTGCTTCTCTTCTGTTATATTTTTTCCCCTGGGGCTCAGCTGTGGGTCTGAATCTTGCAAGGAGTCTGTTTCGGGTGGCTCATTTGACCTTGAAGGGGTGGCTCATTTCCAGGTTTTGGGTGTGGGCTGATCTCTCCCTTCTCCCTCCAGATCTCAGTCAACATTTTCCGAATTCTTCCACCCAGTGAAAACCCCGAGTTCGATCCCGAAGAAGACGAGCCAAACCTGGAACCATCTTGGCCTCACCTGCAGGTAAGAGGCCGCTTGGAGGCCACGAGATTAATAGGAATAACCCTTAGACTTATATCCCGCTTCATGGTGCTTTCCAGCCCGCTCTAAGCGGTTTACAGAGTCGGCCTCTTGCCCCCAACAATATGGGTCCTTATTTTATCCCGCTTGGAAGGACGGACGGCTGAGTCAACCTTGAGCCGGTCAGGATTGAACTGCTGGCAATGGACAGAGTTAGCCTGCAATACTGCATTCTAACAGGAAGGAAGGAAGGAAGGAAGGAAGGAAGGAAGGAAGGAAGGAAGGAAGGAATAGCTCTTAGAATTATATACTGCTTCACACTGCTTTTACAGCCCTCTCTAAGCGGTTTACAGAGTCAGCCTCTTTCCCCCAACAATCTGAGTCCTCATTTTACCCACCTCAGAAGGACGGAAGGCTGAGTCCACCTTTAGGAGGGAGGGAGGAAGGAAGGAATAACACTTAGATACATCCTGCTTCACAGTGCTTTCCATCCTTCTCTAAGCGGTTTACAGAGTCAGCCTCTTGCCCCCAACAATCTGGGTCCTCGTTTTACCCACCTTGGAAGGATGGAAGGCTGAGTCCACCTTGAGATGTCCCCTTAAGGAGAGGCTCATGGGTTTGGAGGTATCACTGGCTGGGGGGAAAGGGCCTGGTGGAACTCCCATGCCTCCCAGTGGAAGAAGAAAGTTGGTTTTGATGNAGACAGACAGACAGACAGACAGACAGACAGACAGACACATATATAGTATGTATGTATATACATACTGTGTGTGTATTGACGTATGACCATTTCTCCCACCTACAATATATGTGTGTGTCGTTCTCAACTTACAACCCTCCATTTAGTGAGCTATACAGTATATTGCAGAAGTGAGTAAATATCCCTTCACATTTTCTAAATATTTAAGACTATCTTAAATAACACTGAAGAAATGACACTTGGCTACAATACAAAGTAGTGAGTATACAACTTGTATAACAAGGTCAATGTGCTGTCCCCTCAAAATAACGCAACACACAGCCATGAATGTGTAAACTGTAATCTCTGTATTTAAGATATACTTAAATATTTACTGTGACGTACTCAATTCTGTGATATACTGTATATATGTATATAGTGTGTCTGTGTGTGTGTACACATCCACATTTGCTGTCACCCTATTTGAACTAAATATTAATCTCAGCCATTGAATGACCTCTACGGACACCAGGCGCTAAATGCAAATAAATAAATAAATCTATTTTTTCTTCGGCAGGTGATACGGGGCCTGTTGAAATACTGGCCAAAGACTTGCACCCAAAAAGAGGTAGGTACCGAAGGGCTCCTGGGCTCCTGACAGCATTACTAACCGGTTTGGTGCGCGAAAAATATGTGCATGTGCCTCTGCCCCTAAAAAGGCCAATGCGCATTCACAACACTAGAAAAAGGGGGAGGGGATTACATTTTTTCAATGAAACAATTGTTCTGCGCATGTGCAGAACAGAAGCTGGCGCCACCGAGGATAGAACTGGTTCGGGCGCGTGTCCGGCCAAGTTTGCCCGAACAGGTAGGAACCAATGGTGGGTTTCAGGAGGTACGGCCTGGTATGAGCATACCAGTAGTAGGCCGGGAGAAGTGGCCACCATACCAGTATGGTGGCTCGTTTGTCCCAACCACCCGCCTGCGTTCCATAGTTTATAACGCAACCGGCCAATTGCACATACACGCACAGGGGCCTGCGTGACCTCCGCCAAGCAGCTGGGTGTCACAGGGCAGTGGCGTGCGCAGCGAGCATGCCCGACTCGGATGCCCGGCCCCGTGCGCAGCGTACCAGTTGTAACAGGATGTGGAACCCACCACTGGCTCAGCCGGGGGCGGCGGTTTGCATGCCTGGGGGGTGGGGGGGGTCAGGCCTTGTAAAGGCATCAGCCGGAGGGTCTCCCCCTCCCTTCATCCCCTCCCTCTGCTCCCTTCCTGACCAGGTGATGCTCCTGGGGGAAATCGAGGAGATCCTGGATGTGATCGAACCCTCGCAGTTTGTGAAGATCCAGGAGCCGCTGTTCAAGCAAGTGGCCCGATGCATCGCCAGCCCCCACTTCCAGGTGCCTTGCGGGGGGGGGGGGTAGCAGAGGAAAAGGGGTGGCGGAACGCATCGCTGAGATCGTCCTCAACATACAACCACAGTTGGAATTTCAATTGCCAAGCGACGCGGTTGTTAAGCAAGTCGCCAAGGGACCAGGACTGCATTTCACAGTAGTTTTTACTGCGGTCATTAAGTGGATCGTGTCATTGCTAAGTAAATCTGCCCCCCCCCC